TTACGAAATTAGGTACGTAAGTTGTTGTGTACTAAGCTGTATAAATTACTATAGTTTTTTAACTATCCCACGGAAACTCTTTAATTTTCTGGAATGAAAAGTATCTTAGATGTTGACCGGGGATATAAGGTACTACCATACAAAATTTAATTTAAACCGGTTCAATAGTTTCGGAGATTAGCCCGTACAAACAGACAAACAGAAGAGAAATAACCTCTACAGTTTTATTATATGTATAGATAGAATAGAATAAATAACGTATAATAAAACAGTAATATATAATAATGAAAATAGTTATAGCGAGTGTACCTTAGGAGAAAGACATATACTATGTAGAACTTTTCTATAGACCTTTTTAGGACTTACAATTTTCTTGCACAATGTTTTGATCTATCTCTTAAGGTTGAGCCAACGTTAGCCATATAAATTTCTAAGAACGATTCGATAGAACCAGTTATTGTGTTTTCGAGTAATCAATAATTTGCCTATCGTAAAAGGTATCCTAAATGTTGACCCGAGTACTAAGTTTTATCACTACAAAATTGAGTTAAAATCGGTTGAGTACTTTCTGCGTGAAACGCGCACATCGATTTGACTAAGTTAGTTTTATTATACGTATAGATAAGAATAAATATTGCGAGTGTAACTTAGGAGATAGACATATACAATTCAGAACTTTTCTGTAGGACTTTTCAAGACCTACAATTTTTTTGTATATTGTTTTAATGTATGTATGTCTTAAGGCTTAGCCAGCGGAAGGTTTCTAAGGAGGACTCTATAAAACCAGTTATTGTATTTTCCCGTGGGAAAGAAAGATTTTCTTGAAGTAAAAGGTATCTAGGCAGTGGTATCCCAGTGGTAACGCGCTCGCTTGGGAAACCGAGTGAAGCAAGTTCAAATCCCGGGTCTCGCACCTCTGATATTTTCATGTGCGAATCATTTCTAACACAATTACCACTTGTCTTAACGGTGAAGTAAAACATCGTGAGGAAACCTGCATGCCTGAGAGAACCCAGCAAGTTTTCAAAAGAAATGTGAAGTCCGCCAACCTGCACTTGGCCAGCGTGGTGGACTATGGCCTGATCCCCCTCGTACTCAAGGCAGGCCCGTACCCGGCAGTACATAAATACATACAAAAGGTATCCTAAATGTTAACTCGAGTAATAAGTTATCACCAAATTTCGTTGAAATCAGTACATTACTTTTCGCGTGAAATGCTCACGCAAAAACAGACAAACAGACATACAGGCAAACAGACAAACAGACAACTTTTTAATAACTATTGTTTTGGGGTTTATGTTGTGTACATAATACGTTACAAATAAACAAAAACATCTATCCCACGGGAACAGTACATTTTTCCGGGATATAAAGTAACCTATTTCTTATTCTGATGTATGAACTATATATATTATTGTAAAGTTTCATCAAAATCCAATCAGTAGTTTTTGTGTACTAAGCTGTATAAGTTACTATAGTTTTTTGGCTATCCCACGGAAACTCTTTAATTTTCCGGGATGAAAAGTAGCTGATTTGTTTTAGTCATGTATGAACTATATTATTGTAAAGTTTCATTAAAATCCAATCAGTAGTTTTTGTGTACTAAGCTGTATAAGTTGTTATAGTTTTTTAACTATCCCACGGGAACTCTTTAATTTTCCGGGATGAAAAGTATCTAAGATGTTGCACGGGGATATAAGGTACCACCATGCAAAATTTTATTTAAATCGGTCCAATAGATTCGGAGATTAGCCCGTACAAATAGGAAAACAGATAAACAGCTCGCTCGGGTTCGTCCATACCTACGAATATGTTGTATTATCTCTTTAACCATTTGTCCAAATTATATGCAGTAAAAGGGAAAAGTCTTTTGTTTTAAACATTTTAGACGATAAATTTACTTATTTTGATAAGAATTCATAATTGTTGATAATATGACCAATAAACATGACCTACCGATTTAAATTATTTTTTTAATATAAAAAACTACTTGTTGTGACTCAAATATAAAAGTTAGACATATGCTGTCGCTGACTTTTTTGTAGGCATTATTAAGCTCTACAACTTTTTTCTAGAACATAATCATATATCTCTCACCGTTAATGCAGCGTTCGTAAGAAACCTTTTCGTTCGACCGTTTTTTCTCCGACTTACTTTGCAAATCCGACTACCACGAAAAAGCCTTTTCATTCTTCGCGTTAATATATAGCCTATGACACTCAGAAAGAACGTGGCTTTCTATTGGTAAAAGAATTTTGAAAATCGGTTCAGTAGATCCAGAGATTACCCCCTACAACGTCACAAACTCACAAACTCACAAACTCACAAACCCACAAACTCACAAACTCACAAGATCACAAACTTTACCTCTTTATAATATTAGTATAGATGTACAAAGTGTAGTACACTATCTTGCAATATTTGTTCTCTCAAAATATGTTTAAGATATGAACTATGGAATGTCTTATATTAATTAGACTCTATCAAGCAATTATATAAAGTTGATTCAACAGCTTGAATAATATTAGTGCCTACTCAACGTGTAAACGAATGTATTAATGCTCGCATCGCTAAACAACGTTCAAACTTATTAATAACCTTTGAACTACCAATATGGTAAGACTGTTGTTTCATAATAACGTTTTTATTCATAAAACGTACTTCAGAAGCACTAGCGTCAAGCACTAGTACGGCATGAGGCGTCATCTACGGTATGACAAACTGCGAGCGCCGCGGCGCGCCTGACACCTCGTAACGGGCCTCATTACTTACTCTCATAACTCTCTCATACTCACTGAACGCTTTAATGTCCATAAATAGATAGAATAAAAAGGTTACGTTGTACGTTACGTGCAGGACATATTAGGTACGTATTTATAGTCCACACAGAATAATAATATCACAATTCTTAAGTAGCTGGGATTTGGAAATACCGTTTGTTTTTCATATAATATGCCCTTTTATGATCTCATTACCTTTCTAATACCTCATTTACCTACATGAAGTATATGAGTAATGAGTATATAAACTGTCAACCTGTTTTTGTTTTCCGCCAGTACTAAAAGAGCAGTGGCTGTAGTAGCACAGTGGTAATACGTTCGCTTGGAAAACCGAGTAAAACGGGTTCAAATCCCGGGTCTCGCGCCTCTGGTATTTTCGTGTGAGAATCATTTCTAACATGATTACCACTTGCCTTACGATGAAGAAAAACATCGTGAGAAAACCTGCATGTGAGAGAACCTACGCACTTGGCCAGCGTGGTATTGGAAACAGCCTTCTTATTGAAGGGAGGCCCGTGCCCAGGTCCATGGCACTGTACGGTGCCCCCGTTTGGATGGACGCCCTCTCCGCACAGAACAGGGCCCAACTGCGCAAGGCGCAACGGGTCCTGGCGGTGAGGGCGATACGGGGATACCGTACGGTGTCCTTCACGGCGGCGACACTTCTGGCGATTGATGGCGATCCGCCCTGGGAACTCCAGGCGGAGGTGCTCGCCGAAGTCTATCGGTTTCGGGCGAGTGAGCGGGCGCGAGGGGAACGTCCAGCGCGGGAGGGAGTCGCTCGGATCAGACGCCTAGCTGACGAGGCACTGATCCGGCGCTGGTGGGAAGACCTGGGGACTCCAGCGGCTGGCCGGGCGACGGTGGGGGCGGTTCGTCCGTTCCTGTCTCGCTGGGTCAGGCGGCCACACGGCGTCCTGACGTTCAGGTTACTTCAGCGAGGCCGTCATCTCACTGAAGGAGACGGCGGAGAGGGAACGCGAGGCTAACGCCTTAGCAGACCCTCTTCGTCGCCGTCGGCTGGGGGAGAGGAGGCGCCGGTATGCGCATCTTCTCCCGCCACCCTAGAGGAGCTACTGCGGGGGGGTCTCTCGTTGACTCCCCTGCACGTCATCGGGGCGGTCGGGATGCTCTGTGAATCGAGGGCATCCCGGTTTAGGCGAGGCAGGCCCGCGGGGTACGGGCTGTCCGCAGGGGTGTTGCAGTGAATGCGCAAGCGATCCTGCACACCCCATTGCATTGCGGCGACGGGTTCCGCTGTGGGTTTTAGTGAGTAGGAGTCTCACAGTACCCTACCCATTGACGGCCGGTAGGGTCCCCATGATGGGTTTCCCCAGCGTCAACAAAAAAAAAAAAAAAAGGGAGGCCCGTGCCCAGCAGTGGGAGTTAAAAAGGGCTGAATACACACTAAAGAGTTACTATTAGGGGTTAAATCAAAATTTGTAACTAGTAAAATCCCACATAAATCATATTAAAATCATAAGAATTTATATCATTACATATTCACGCAGTAGGTATTTCCCGCATATATTGTCTATTACTATTAAGCACATTTCCATCCCTTATCTCTTATCTTTTCTTGAGTAACTTTTTTTCTTGTTTAAAGTATTAATAAGGATAAATCTATCCAACTCACTTTAACTTCTATTCCCTCATTTATTGTATAGAAATCTTTTCTTGTGTGGAGGAAAACAAATATTCTGCACCCATCTTCAGAGCGAAAGTGATATAAGATTAAAAAGTTATAGAGGATACTTAAGTACTAAGTATGTAGTTACAAAACTCACATCAGTTTACAATGCAGTTATCGTTTACAGAAAATGTCCTGTACGAGGCTGAATATCTATAATAATTATAGTTTAATTATACAGTTGTATGTAAAGACGCCAGGAAGCGCCACCGCCGGCACTGTGTGAATGCGTCCGACCGAGGGTCGGGGAGAGACGTCGCGTCAAATGAGATTTATTCTTCTGTGATGTAAGAAGATTTATAACACGTCGCATATGTATGTATGTATGTAGGTACATAGTACAGTGTGCTGTGGCTGCAGTCGCCGTCGCTCACCGCGCGAGGCATGCGAGCGTGACGCCCATTGATATAATTTGCATTGTACTTATTCACTGGCTAGTAATTAATAATTGATTAAAATTATCCGATTCCGTCTCGGTATGCGCATTATCTAACTTTACATAAACATATTACGTTACCAATTGATCAGATATGAATCAAAAGGTATAGCTACTTACTTATATACCTACCTATAGCAACATATTTACACCTGTTTGTAACCGGCCAACTCAAAAATAAAAAAAGCCAGGATTAAAGTTAAAAAATTTAAATGAACCTATATTCCAAAAAAATATTTATAAAAAATTGAACAATAAACACTTAACCGTAATGAAAAGAAAATTAATTTTTTTATTATACAAGACATGACAAATTGACGATAACAATTATACACAATAGTTAATCTATCAGGTGGAGCGCTACATCGTGTGAGGACGCGGCACTAACGTTAGCCCACAGTCAAATGGGAGTGAGACCCGCAGTTCTGGCTCACACGTTCACTGGATAATGCTACTAGTTTGCGCCGCGTCGTTTCTTTCGTTTAGAATTTAGATTAATTTATTTGTATCCACGTTCCGCAATGCAATAAGACGAGCTGGAGCGGCGCGAGTGGAGAGGGAGCTCGTAAACATGTCACAGGAGATGCATCGCCGGGGGACCCGCCCGCGCGCCCGCCCGCGCGCCCGACCGCGCGCCCGCCCGCGCGCCCGCCCGCGCTCCGCACAGCTGCTCGGAGGATGCCCTTTTCATTTAACTTGCTTCGAACATCTTATCGTTGCGGGCCATGCTCCTGTGGCTCTAACAAATGTTAATAAAGTCTTAAATTAACTGCTTTGTAATGCATCAGATATCTTTATTTTACTTTACTATACGATCCAGACTCGACGTGTCATTACTAAATTTTCAACGTAAGTTACAAGAAGTCTTAATCATTATTGAATATTTTATACATGAATCAAAATTTCTTAAACGAAAAGTATTTTGTTTATACTTTAATAAATTATTATCAGATGTTGGTAATCGTATTTTAAAGAGTTCAGAATCTATGAATCGTCAGATCCTCGTTGGTCGCGTGCCAGGGACATCAAAGGACGCGGCGGCCGCGCGCCGACAGACGTACAAGTGTATGAAGCGAATTAAACGCCTAGATTAACATCTAATACTAATATATCAGCTAATTTAGTAATTTGATACTGGATTTTAATTATCATACCTATATTTGCAAAAATATAGGTATGATAATTAAAAAAAAAGACGACACGTTTGGCTCAGTTTGTAGTGACCCTACTTTCTGTGCCAGCGGTCGCGGGTTCGAGTCCCGCTGAGGGCATTAATTTGTGTGATGAGCATGAATGTTTGTATTTTAGTCATGGATGTTTATATTTATAATATGTATGTATTTAAAACTATATATGTGTAGTGTATCAACTATCTGGTATCCATAACACAAGCCTCGTAGCTTACCATGGAACTAGATGGTGTTGTGTGTTAATATCCCCAAAAAAAAAAAACTTACATTTTAAGTGTTAATAAAAATCATTGTATTGCGCATAAAAATTTTATTGTACGTATTATTAAAATATATAACCACTAACCATCCAAACGACTTCAAATACTTTAGTGGTTTAATGATTGTATTATAATGTAAGCGAAACAGCTCCATCAAAGCTATATGGAAGCACGTGCGGCGCACACCCGCGCGGCTAAGAGCTGCGGTACAAATCTACGTGAAGAATGGAGGCGAGCGGCTAACGACCGCATCTTAAAAATACGCGAGAGGATAACCAAATCTGTTCAATTGTTCTCCGGAGATTACCGCGCGCTGCGCAGCGGCATTCCGCGCGGGATTTATTGAGTCGCCGCCCGCCCCCGCCCGCCCTTCCCGCCCCCGCCCGACGCACCCGGACCGATTTAGTTCGGATTAAAACAAAGGTAAATGTCGCCGCGTATTTTTAGTGTCGCACTAATGTCCCTCGCCCGGCCCGCACTCGCGCCGTTACTCCCCGACAAAAGCTCTTTAAATCACCCATTAATGTTCCAGAAATAATCAAATTCCACTCTACTGTGTGTTAATTTGGGGACCATTAATTAGGTTTCTAAATTGTATCGGTTCGAAGTATTGAGTCTTCTTAGACCTGTCTGATGACCGACAGGATCCCACGAGCGATTGAAGGAGTCATAACATTCGACGACAACGTGTATTGGGAGTCGCAAAAAGCCGCCGCCGCCGCCCCGTCTGCCGCGCGACCGCCGAGCTGCCCCAGTGCCAGCACACTCGCACTCCACGTCGCTTTGTTAAACTCCCCAAACTCGAATATCAATGGATTACAGATTGAGATAGTGCCTTTTGTGTCGTGCCTTGCGCATTCACATTGTTTTTGTTTGTTATCTTTTACTTTTAATGGAGAGGTATCCCGGTATTTGAGATTTATTTCAGATGCCAAGTCATAAAAAACTATAGCGTAATGAAAGTCAATCCCCCTAATTACGTGTTACCTATTACTATGTTCATGAAAGATATTCTAATATTAAAGTACTGTATATTTTAAACACTTAAGATTTAACATATTAAAGGTTAAAGATCATAGATAATCCGCGAAATAATTCGAAAAGATAGTTTTACTTAAAACTAGCATTGCCCGCAGCTCCGCCCGCGTTCAGTTGACCAGAAAGAAATTCTTAGGTTTTACATATTGGTAGGTATATACTTATTGCAGTTTTTGTATTTTTTCTCAGAAATGAGACATTTTCCCGCGGTATAAAGTATCCTATAGTATGTTGCCACGGGTAACCCGTTATCACCATACCAAATTTCATCAAAATCCCTCCAGTGGTTTTTCTGTGATGCGGTAACAGACAGACAGACAGACAGACAGACAAAAAATATTCGGCCGTTGTATCGATAATAATGTCTATTTCAATAAGATTTTCCAAAAAATATTTTATGTACAGATTCGGCTTAGTTACAATTTTATTATATGTATAGATGTTACACGCTGATAATGTAGTTTTTGATAGATGAAAGAATTTTCAAAAGTGATCCAGTAGTTTTTTAGTTTATCCATTATAAACAAACATATAAAAAAAAACATTTTTTCTCCTTATAATATTAGTATAATGTTAGTAAAGGCAAAGTGGCGTAACGCACCCGCGTGCGGTCCGGTTAGTAATTGAGCGAGCTATTGCTTTTTCATCCACAACAGACACGCTCCTTATTCACATCTCTTTATAGTTGCCGATGTTAAGAGAAATATAGTGTTAGTATATTTTGTAAAACATTTATTATTATTATTATTTACTCTTCTTCTAGTTGAGGCTCTCCAGTCCATTGAAGTAGAACTTCCTTATAATATTTAGACCTATAAAGCTGAGGGAGCGTCTACTTTTCGCAGTATTGTCATATTTGAGCAGCTATCTTGCAGTTGAATATAAAGACCGTAAAATGGAGAACGAAATAATTAGAAGTTATTCTTATACTGTGGTATAGTCTACGAGTATACTGTATAGTCGCACGACTACGTTTATAATAATAAATTATTATAAACGTAGTAGCTATTTGAACGAAAGTAACAAGTAATAAAAAATGTCCATTAAGCTGACTTTACACTTTGATCCATTAATTTCGACGCTTCGTTCTGCGCATTAAGTTTATCGTGTTCTCTGTGTTAAAATGCAGTCTCTGAGAAGATTCAGTTTATAATGATGACTGCATACAGGTACTAATATATTTTACAAAAATGATTTAAAAAAAATCAAAAATGGCACCATAGTAGCTTACAATATTTGTTGGTTTTTAATTCTAAACATTTTAATAAGTATTATAATGTTGTTAGATTTAATTATGTTTATTACAAGATCTCACGATGGTGGTAGTACCCTGCCATCATCCCTATTGAAGTGTGGATATTTTTTAATTTCAATAGCTTCGCGAACCATCCTGGGGCGATAGCAGTTCTCTTTTGCGAGTAGGTATTTGTGACAAAAACAAACATAACGACCATTACATGTAGTTATTAGTTTATACTGTGTAGATCGCAATAAAAGTAATTTAAATTAATATATATTTTTTATCTTTAAAGACAGCAATAGTGTTGCTTAATATTTTAACTTTAAATAATAGCAATCTAAAATAATAATTTAATTTTTAAACTACATATAAAACAATGATATTGCTTAAATAAATAATTAATATTTTTAATTTTTAAATTTCTTTGTAAATAGAATTATTAATTAATAAAGTTTTTTTTTGAAAATTGTAAATATTTGTAATAATAACAGCCAAAATTTAAATAAATAATATTACTATACTTAATTATAATACTTATTAAAAACGAAAAATTAAAATAAATCCGTGAAATAATCCGAAAAGATAGTTTTATTTAAAACACGATAAGCTTAAATATTACTTAGGCGTGCTCGAGACATCGCTCGACTCGTACGAATGGATCACATCTAGTGATTTGCAACATAACCCTTATCAGTTATAGCGTAAATAATTACCATACAATGTTATTCGGTCGTAAATTTAAACTTAACTCGGTATTTACGTGTGTTGTAATCATTCATTCTAGAATAATATTTCTAGTCTGTTAATTCTGACATTGTATTATGTTAAGTGTATTAACATTATCTCCAAGTAGGATAGGAGAAGGTAGTATTTTTTCGATATCTAATTATTCTATGGAAATTGCATTTTTTTTTCATTCATTGTTGAGTATAACGTACACCACAGGTGTTTGTCCGTACCTTTGAGTTCTTACCCGACTGTGGCGAAGCCCAAAGGATGGTTATGTGGTTGACCTGTATGTACGAGGTGAATCAAATATAAACCGCCCTTTTTTACTGGTCGCTGAGTGAAGTGATGCACTTAGTGATGCTGTATGTGATACAAGGGATTGTCTAGGGCAGGGGAGGACACTGCTCCGGTTTACTACGCTCTCAACTCTTCGCTCGAAAAAATTTGTTAATAGAAGCGAAGATTATATTATAGAAAATATATATCACATTTTTTATTATAATATATGCGTATTTTTTCACATAAGTCCTGTTTACATTTGATCTACCTTAGTATTATGTATGTAAACTATGTTCCCTTGTAATTACTATAATAATATTATGCAAATTACAATTTACAATTGTAAAATATAGCACTTTTAATTGAAAATGAAAGTTTTTACGGTGATTGGATCACGCGATGGCAATGCGACCTATTATTTAAACTAAAGAAGTCAAATAGTATCCTCAGAATAACTTTTAATACTATTTTCCGCTACACAATTAGTGTAGAGTGTCGAGTGCTCGACCGATTAGCAGTATCTATTTGGAGATGTTGACGAAAGCCGGACTTAGCGCGTGTTTATTTAACAGTTCCGTAGCGAGGCTTAGCGCTGTTATTCTGCTAAGCCGGGTTAAGCCGCGCCGGGGCGGCAGATGTCGCGTCCCGCCACCCCCGCGCCGCACCCCCCGCACCGCACCCCCCGCGCGACGTGCACGCACCTTTGACATAAGGATTAGACATCATCCCTTTCCATGTTAGGCAACGACGTACAGGCAATGCTCAGAATTAATTTATAGTTATTTGACAACAGCAACAGTAACTCGTATGAGTATAGTATATTGGTAAAAATATCTGTATTACCATTTTGATTGATAATAATTGTAACGTTTAATTGTATATCAGAGTTTTCAAATTTCAAATATTCGCGTAAATCTAAGAAAGTATTATGTATCTCAGAGTAATAAAAATATATCTGTCCTGGTTACACCACTGCTGTACTGTACGCTCCTTTTTCCATCTCTCAGTTATGGCTACTAAACAAAGTTGTAACTAAGATTAGCTTACATAAAACTGCTGTTAATAAATAAGTTTTACAGCTAATGCAATGAGGGGAAAATTAAAATAATACAGCGGAAAGTGAATGAAAGTACCTACACAACCGAAGAAGTTGAATAAGTAGTTACTTTGTTAAAGTAATAAGAATACTTGTTATCAAATTGGTTCGAAAAACTTTATTTCCAATACTTACATTAGATACTGATAGCGAAAATTTAAAAGACTGCTACGGTTGCTGGAGGACGTTATTATATCTGGCCATTTACACCTACTGGCTACTCCTAAAAAGAATGACGTAATTTATAAGTACAGCTGATGGCTTGTGTAACTAGCGACTAGACTAGTAACAAACTTGCACAAAGAGACTTCTTATCTATAATTAATTATTCAACGATACTTGGAATGGACCTCTACAATGTAAAGTGTTACATTTCTGCTCTATTTGTGAAATCAACTTTCTTTAAAAATTGGCAACTTTTAGCGATGTTAATTAACGACCCATTATGGCAGAAACATCCAATAAATAATTTTTAAAATAGCTAGATGTCAATGGAGCATGCGCGCGTAATTCTGCTACGAAATACTAGTTTCGAGGCAGAAAATAATTGGAAAAGTTGGTACATGTTTATTAGGTTGGAGTATTAGTTTCATCACATATTTTGCGAATTATTTAGCTGTTCTCTTATTGGGTTCTCGATAGTCAAATTATGTTGTAATTAAACGCAGATATTTACTATATTTTACTAGACAATGTGTGTAGGTAAAAACGAGGAGTACCGCGCTTTTATTTTTTAGACAGTGGTAGTCCAGTGGTAACTCGCTTACTTGGGAAACCGAGTGACTCTGATATTTTTATGTGCGAATCATTTCTAACATGATTACATCGTGAGGAAACCTGCATGTCAGAAAGAACTTAGTTTTCGAAAGACATGTGAAGTCCGCCAAACAGCACTTGGCCAGCGTGGTAGACTATGGCCTGATCGCCCTCGTATTGAAGGAAGACCTCGTATTGAGAGAGGCATGTTGATTAATTAAATATTTTGATGTTAAAATCTTTTGACCCCCTCATCCCCTCACCTGACAATAAATCAGTGTGTTCTATGTTGCAAGATTTTAACAAGGGATTACCTATTGTGTCAAACAAATATCCAATCGTAACGGATCTAATCACGTTTTTAAAGCGTTAACTAGCGACTCCCAATCTCGCTCCGCTCGAGATCGTCGGTAGTTACATTTTAACGTTTAGTATAGATTTCTCAGTGAAGAGATATTTTCCCGCAGTTAAAAGTATTCTATATGTTGACCCGGATAACCAGCTATCATCATATCAAAATTTCATCAAAATCTGTTCAGTGGTTAGTAGACAGACAAAAATTCTAAAAACTATAGATTCGGCCTCTGTATCGATAATAATGACTTTTTCTATAAGATTTTTTAGAAAATATTGAATATACAGATTCGACTAAGTTACAATTTTATTATATGTATATTATAGTGTAGAACTGTAGAATCCGTTATAAACAAATAAATTATGATCATTCCCATGCAAGTGGGCCGCTTGACACGTCTGAGGGCGCGGACATACCTACCACGCGTGAAGCGCGACGCCCAGCGC